TATATATATATATATATATTTCCTCATTTGAAATGGATCCAGTGAGGCACAATATACATACACACATGTATCTAGTTCCACTCTGTTTGAATAGAATTTAAATAATTAAAAAAAATGATTTTCCTGAATCTCTCATCAGGCCTTAGGTAGAACCTTGGGAGTTTGTTCACCTTCAAATTTCCCAAGAGTATTCCTAGAGTCCGTTGATTTTTTGAACTGTTTAGTTTATGCCATAATGTTCTTAACGTCATCTGGGAAAAGGTTACCAGGAAGATTTACATATGGAAGATCAGGATAATCTTCAAATGCATCTGAAGGAAACAACGCCCCCTCCCCTCTATTGCCTCACCCATGCGTCACCAGGAGAAACAGCAGCTTTGGAAAAAAAATTGCTGCTGTCTGTGACCACTATACCCACAGAAAAGGAGTGGGAGAGAAAATACCCATGTGATGGACCAAATCATTCCACCCCCTGCTTTGAGCTGCTTTTTCTAGGAGCCAACTTTCCCCCTTGGGTCCTTGGGAGATGCTTAATGTTAATTGACTCAGAGGAGTTCTACTCTGTGTTTTGAAAACCACACAGAAATGAGAAGTAAGTTAAAGGGTTCCACTGCTATCTCCCTAGTCCCCAACAGATATGCACAAACAAATCCAAGGTACTCAACAGCCTTTAAACAGAATCTGGGGCTAGCACCAGAGGCTAGGTTTATGATAGGCTCTATATTTCCAGAAGATTCCTTAGAAGTTAGATGGACCCTAGCAACCCATAATGGAATTATGCTGTAAACTTTGTTCTGTGAGTAACCAGCAGGTATGTTCCTCTAACTTGGATTTTCCCCCTTCACAAATGGTTTCAGGAAATTCAAAGTGGTCATACCCGTAGAGAGGACAGAGTAAGTCAAGGTAGATTGTTCTGAACTGCTTCTGCTTTGTTAGGGGATAGGACACTAGATACTTCTTCACAGCTCTCAAAAGTGCTTTTCTGTCACTGGTTTCTATTTGTCATTTTGCTGCCCTTCATGTCTTTGTGTTTCACAAAGTCCATGGAATCTTGGTTTAATAGAAATAGAGGACTTGAGAAACAGAATGATGATCATTCACATTGTAAGTTAATAAAATCTGAATGTAATTGGTCACATTGTCCCAGCAGGGAATGTTTGTAACCTGTCCTCAGGCCAGTGAGAGAGTTTGGCACTGTTGTGCATAAAGGAGGCCACCCTCATACAGCCTAGGAGGAACATAGTTCTTAGCAGCCAAGAGAAGAGTAAACACTGGGAAAGTCTGTGAGCAGAGAGGGCTATGAAGTTGGAAGTAAAATTGAAGAGTTGTTTGTAGAATTATAAGAACCGTGGAACATCAGAAGGCATATCTTCCTTGCCTTAAAAAAAATGCCCTTTCAAACTCTATATTTCTCTAGCTACTGCCTTCCTTCCCTCCTATTTTTTTAATAATTTTTTTTTTTTTTAAATAGCATCATGATTCCCTGAGATACCCATGTCAGAAAATTTGGTATCTCCTTTGTCAGTCTAACTGGTTTCCTTGTTTCCAATATTTTCTCCCTAAGGACTTTTCATGCAACAACCAGATTTGATTTTAAAGAGCAATTTAGATAATATCAATCCTTGTTTAGAAGTGTTTAATAGCTTTTGTCACAAGTAGGATACAACCCAAACTTCTTACAATGGCCTACAGAACCTTGCCTGCTTTGGTCCCTGTCTCTTTTTACTCTTTCTCTCAAACTTCCCCCTTTGTTCACTCTGCTCCAAAAACTTTGGCCTTATTTCCATCCCTCACCCGTCTCAGGGCCTTTTCCTATTGTGTTGCCTGGAGTATTCCAATTTATTACTAGTCCTTTTTTTAAATGGTGGGTTCTAATGTCACCTTTCTAGATAGATCTCTGTTGATCATCTTAATAAATTCAACACTCTCCCTGACTACCCACCTCCTCTACTAATGTTTTATATTATATGTTGGATTTTTCACTACCTGAAATTATCTTGTTTATGTTTTCATTATTTATCACTGTATAATATAAGCTCTATAGTGATAGAGACTTTGCTTTGTTTATCACCATGACTCTGTTTTTGAAGAGTGCCTGGCACAGGATGAATAACAGATAAATATTGTTTTCAGTGAAAAAAAAAAAGAGAATAAACAGATAAATAGTGTACTTAGAAACTGAGTTATAGCCAGACTGCTGCAGTTCTCTAAACTACAAGTGTACAATCTATTTCTTTGGCCTATAGCACCCTCCTCTTTCTTCTTTTTCTGCTCAATTCCTGCTTATCCATCCATACTGGATTCTATCACCTCCTCCTGGAAGCTCTCTTTGATCTTACAAGTTTAAAGTTTAACAGTTTCAATAGACCTGAGAGCACATATATAATTAGCAATTATTTTTGTTTAATGTATCTGTATCTCCCATTAGCCTAGTTCTGGCAAAGATGTTTTTTGATTTGTACTTCCAGCCAAGTGGGAATCTATGAAAATATACTCTATTTAAGTAACTCATTTGTTGAATTACTTGGCAAGTCATAAATTCCTTTGGTATGTAAATTGGCTATCTCCTAAGTTCTTCCACTTGCCAAATTTTGATTTTTAGACACTGAGATTTTTAAAACATGTAAGTACATACAAATTTTCTTATCAAAAAGGCTCATATTGTCACTAAAATTTTTCTATAAGAATAATAACTTTTAAAAAGAAAAAATAATAAAAGAAACATAATAACTTTAAATATGATATCTATATTATATGATCTATTATATGCCATGCATCTCTGATATAGATTGTCTTATTTACAAATAACTCTTCAAGGTGTAGGTATTATTATCCTAATATTATATACACAGAAACTGAAACATGGGTGTGTTAATCTCTTCAAGCTCATACAGCTAGTAAAACAAAGCTTGGATTTGAATCCAGGGCTCTGATTTCTAAGCCCAGGCTCTTTCTGCTGTGCTGAAAGCCTAAGCTCATGCTGCCCCCTATGGGGCAAGCCCACAAATCAGAACTGCTTAAAAATATGAAACTTACAAAATTTGAGTGCTTATAAATATAGAATCAAGAAACAGGCTTTGGGTGACCATTTTTTTTTAATTGACTAGTAAACTGGTCCTAAGTCTCAACATGTCTTAAGTAAGACCATTTCACAGTATGTTTTCTCTCTGTTTATAAGCATGAAAGTATTTTGTAGGAATTTGCATTAACCTAGTCATGTTTTATGTTAAGCAGAAAGGTATTTTGTATGACTTTGCGTTAACTTAGTCGTGAGACTAAGAGAGGAGGTGTCTTGCTAGACATCTCCTCCCGCTGCTGTATAAGTTCATTGTATGTGTGATGAGGCCAAGCTACTTATTTGACCTCAGTTTCAGGATTCTAGTTAATCCAGCTTTTCTCTAGCTCACCTCCTACTCTAGAGCATTCATGCCATGTGGATTGGAAATTTGTCTTAAACTCTTTCCTGGGCTGGAACTTGCTTTTTTTCTCATTCGTGTCAGGTCTTATTTAATAAAGGTTGGGCCTGTTCTTCCTTACCTGGATTTGGTCAGATTTCTTTGGCTGTGCCCTTCACCTGGCACCACAGTAGTCCTGATTATGCATTTCTCTCTTTTTTTTTTTTGAGAGGTTTTTGCTATAGGGCATGTGCGCTTGCCAGACAGACAGAGAGAGACACAGAGACAGAAAGAGAGAAATCACCCCCCGGGGGGATGGCCACACTGCAATCCCTTCTCCATTCTCCTCTCGGGATCTTGGGCATGCACGCAAACGTGCCCGGCATGAGTTTAAGTCACCAGGTCCGGGACTCGAACTGTGGTCGACTACATGGGAGTCCAGTGACATAGCCATTATGCTAACTACTGGTCCTCCGATTATGCATTTCTGAAGGGTCATCCTTGCTCTGTATCCTTTTGTGTCTTAGAATATTGTACAGAACTGAACTGAACTTTTCATATCTCTATATGGAATTTATCTTAGGTTGTTGCTTTAGCTTCCTACCCTTTCACTGTACTGGTTCTGTTCCCTCTATGGTTTTAGACTCTTACCACACAGCAATGTTTCCCACCACTTGCTAGAAACAATGCCTCAGCACAAAGAACCTCATCAGTGGAAAAAGGGCCAAGAATCTTGTGACTGAACTTTAGATCTTATTGCTTACCACTCACTGCTTTTCTTCTGTGCATCTCTGGTGATGGAGATGGGGATGGAAGACAGTCTATGTGTGATGACGTAGAGCTGATTTTCTTCAGGTTCTGCTCATCTGAAGGATCTATCAGTTTAGTGATGAGCAAGCCAGAAACTGGTTGTTTGTATCTTGCATACTGTAGAGCATCCATGATCCATCTCATTTCACGCCAAACTTCATCTATTTGCTTTAAAATAAAATGGTGAAAGTCATGAATTAGATAGCTATCAAGAAGGAGTATGTTTTCCTTTTTCCATTTTCCACAGTATTGCTTTTTAGCAAAAGTAAAATATTTTCAACATTGCGTTGTAAGCCAGAAAATATCCCTTATTTGTAATCTCTTGTATATTACATGTTTTTACATGAGAGGCTGTATCATTTACTGCAAATAGTGGCAGACCCGGATTTGACCTGAGATATGCCTCTTAGCTGTGTGATAACATTTAGCAACGCATGTAACCTTTTAGAGCATTAGTTGCCTTATTTGCAAAATAAACAGGCAAAACAGCTTCCCTTTTATACCTCACTATGTTGCTGTGATGATGAGCTGTGATGATAATTTTTGTAATATTATATTTTCTAACTTACACATAATAGTTGTATATGTTTCAGGTTATCAAAACATGTATACATTGTGTAATGATCAAATCAGGACAATAAACATATCCACCATTTCAAACACTTATCATTACTTCATACTTTTGAAAGTCACTCTTCTGTTTTGAAGTATACATCGAGTTGTCTCCAATTATTGTTACTCTATTATGCCATAGTAATCTAAAATTGATAACACTTATTTGCATACATTCTTGCATCAAAACCACAGTGTCACTTCATCCCCCTACTGATGTAGATTTGGAGAAAAAGAAATGATGAATTTTAAAGTCCTTTGTAATATACTGCTCACACATATAAAGTGTTATCATCTCTTAGCATATAATGAAATATTCCTCATTGACATATTGTGGGGAAAACATAATGATAAAGACTGAATTTTAGAATACTTTAAGAAAGACATGTCTTAGATGTGAACTAGGAAAACACAAAGTCTAACAAATATCTGTACTCTATGGCAGAAATTGAGAGATCCAAAGATATACTAGTAGGGAGGACAAGAGTAGACACTAGAAACTGTCTAGGAGAAGAGTGGATGGTAGAGCATGGATGGGAGCAGCTTAGGGAAAAAACTTATCAGATACAAGATTGCAAAGTTCTCTGTTGAAAATGATACATATGATAATATCCTTGATTTGATTATTGCATGCATACATTGAAAAACATATTGCGTGCTATAGAGATGTACAATAATTGGATTAAATATAGATCATAAAATAATAAAAAAGAAAAAAACAAAGCATTACTAGAGTATTTTGTTAAGTAAAGTTCTTAGAGCTATGTTAATAGAAAAGGAATAACTTTTTATTTTTAAGTTTCTTACATATAAAATAAGAGCTTCTAAATTACAAATCTGTTTAAATAGCTTATTCTTTTTTTTTTTTTTTTTGGAGAGGTTTTTGCTATAGGGTGCATGCGCTCACCAGACAGACAGAGAGACAGAGAGACAGAAAGCGATAAATCACCCCCTGGGGGGATGGCCATGCCGCAATTCCTTCTCCTCCATTCTCCTCTTGGGATCTTGGGCATGCATGCACATGCGCCCGGTGTGAATTTAAGCCACTGGGTTCGGGACTTGAACTGCGGTCGACTATGTGGGAGTCCAGCGACATAGCCATTATGTTAACTGCTGGTCCCTAGATAGCTTATTCTTAAGTAACTTAAACATCTTTACATTTTGAGGGTAGCTTATTTTAGATGGTTACCATTTTGATTTTTGGGTTACCCAAGTGGCTTTAATATCACAGTTTTGTTTTAAAGTACAGTCATAGTTTTGCTGATGCCTACTGGTGTAAAAGTCACTCATATTTTTCTGACTGTCTTTGTAGATGAGAGACGTTTTCCCAGATCTTGATAGACACTGACTGTGAACTTTCTGGTTATTATATCTCTAAGGAAGGGTTGTTAGAAAAAAAAATTTTTTTTTTTTTCCATAAGACTCTGGTGCTAGGGAACCAGCAGTTAGCATAATGGCTATGTCACTGGACTCCCATGTAGTCTACCGCAGTTCACGTCCTGGACCCGGTGGCTTAAAACTCACGCCAGGCATGTGTGCGTGTGTGCCCAAGATCCCAAGAGGATAATGGAGGAGAAGGGATTGCGGTGTGGCCATCCCCTCTGGGGGGTGATTTCTCGCTTTCTGTCTCTATGTCTCTCTCTGTCTGTCTGGCGAGCGCACGCGCCCTATAGCAAAAACTTCTCAAAAAAAAAAAAAAAAAAAAAGAAGACTCTGGTGCTAGTGGTTGGCTTTGCCTCTGATTTCACTGGATGCCTTGGCCAAGGCATTATCTTCTTTGGGCCCATTTACTCAATTGTACAAAGAGGAGGAGGTTGAACTAGATGATGGAAGGTCCCTTCCACTTGCTTTATGATTTTTTAAAAGAAGTTCGTTCGTTCTTTCGTTCTTTCTTTCTTTCTTTCTTCCTTCCTTCCTTCCTTCCTTCCTTCCTTCCTTCCTTCCTTCCTTCCTTCCTTCCTTCCTTCCATAAATGAAACAGAGCAAGAGAAAGAGATAGGAACCCCAATAGAGTCTTGATGCTGTGATCCACCCCCAACCTTCACCCAGCCCTGGAACATAGGCAAGTGTGTGCCCATTGTACTCAAGGAGATCATCCGACTTGGACCGACAACCCTCCCATGGGGGATTGTATCACATTTTACTTCCTGGCCCCTGTGATTTGTTTCTGAAGAATATTTAGGATATTGATGTCACTCATCTTCCAGGTGGAAGATATTCACTGTATAAATAATGCAAAGTTAAGGTATCTCTGATTGTAGTAGTTTTAAAGATAAGGTACTATCAAGTGTTATGTTTTATGTTCATAATTCCTTTTTAGGTCTTTAACCTGTATTTAAAAATATTTTAAAAACCTAGTACTCCTAACACAGAGTAGAGTCCGAAATTGTGACATTTATTCTGTCATATTCAGAGAGACAGGCAAGCTAGAGTGAATTAGTGAATAGTACTGCGTAGCTGATAACCATTTTTTCTTGTATTCTAGTTCTGTTCTGTCCTCAGGTGACAGGAGTTGGTAGAGTATTCAGAGCTGGTGATGAAAGCATGAGACTGTGCTTCAGGCTTTGTTAGCTTAGTGAGTTGAACGGGAAGTTCAGCAGTGGGCAGGTCTGTGAGGTGACACAGCCATTTGGAAGGGAGAAATCTGAAGTTCAAGGGATAAAGTCAAAATGGGAATCCCAGGTAGATAAATTTTTCCAATGAGATTGTTGTTCTTTCCTGCCTCATAAAATATATGCTTGTCTCAAAGTAATTTATAGTGCCATTCTCTAGTTTACTCTAGCTGGATTTGTCAAGGACAGAGACTATGATTTTGTATCTTTTTCTTTTCTTTGTGCAGAGAAGGTACTCAAAAATAATAGTTCAGTGAGTGACTAAATGAATGAATGAATGAATGAATGAACGAATGAATGGAATGATTCTCTAATTCTTTAGATCTGTACCCTCAGAGTTACTGTGAGGATTAGTAAGATAATATAGATGAGTGCACTGCATGAACTATAATGTTATAAAGTTTTCAGTTGTTACCATGATAATCATAATTATTATAGAGGGTTGACTCCAAAAGATAAGTCCATGTCCTAATCCCAATAATTTATGAATATCACTTTATATGATAAGAAAGTAAATATTACTTATATGGCAAAATGTCATTAAGACTTTTGAGAAGAGGAGTTTATCCTGGATTATTTGAGTGAGATCTAATTCAACAAATGTCCTGATAAGGACATTCTTTTAAGAGTGAGTCATTCTTAGGAGATTTGGCACACCCCGGAGAAGGAGGCAATGGGTCCACAGAAGCAGAGATTAAATAATGTAGACACAAGTCTAAGGATGCCAACAGCTACCAGAAGCTGGAAAAGCCAGAGAATGGATTCTTTCCTAGAGCCTACAGAGGGAGTACGACCCTGCCAATACCCTAATTTCAAACTTCTGGTCTCCAGAACCATGAGAGAATAAATTTCTATTGTGTTAAGCCACTCATTTTGTGGTAATTTGTTACAGCAGTCATAGGAAACTAATAATCTACCTGTTTTCTTTGGATGAGGTTGTTTCAGCCCTGTTGCTGAGGATGGTTAGAGAGATTTAGTGTAGAAATTTAAAAAATTGTGTAGAAAAATGTGTTTAATTCTTAATTTTTCTCAGGGATGAGGTAAAGAAGTCTTAACTGAAAACAACAATAATGACAGAGGTGTAGAGAGGCCTGTGGATTGAGTTTAATGGGACTTTAGCTAAGTAGCTCCAAAAGAAGTATAATTTTCACCCATTTTACTACTGTTGATCTAAAAGTAACTGACAACATAATCCCTCCTGATTTTAAGGTCTAAATTCAGCTTCTAAAGACTTGCTGACACATTTTTAAAAAGAAAGACCATGAATCCCCCAGGTCTGTTGATTAAAAATTCTGCATCCATTTCTCACTCTGGCCTTTAAAAATTTCAGTCTTCATCCCATAAATTATACTCCTTTCTCTGTACTCAGGCAAGATAATATTTTTATTAAAATGTAAAGGTGATTGGTTTCCTTATAGTACAGCTACAAGGTGCTTGAGGGGATGATAGATGGGCCATATTTAATGAGCTGTGTTTCTATTACAGCTTAGGAGCATTTGAAACATTACAGTATATAAATTATGGCCTAATTGCTCTTTAGGCTTTAGCGGCTCAAAATATGCCAAGCTCCAGGTCACACTTTTGACATTTCTGCTGTGTGTGCTGTCTATAAAGCCTGTATACGTTATCTATGATTTTCTACACCTCCCCTGATCCAGCCCTCCCCTTTTCTGGCTGTACTTCTTGGCTTCTTTTCCTGACTGTATTTACATAGACTCCCTGCTCTTTACAATGTTTGGTTTGTGTAGTGACTTCAGCACCGTCTTAGATCTGGATTCATAGAAATGCTCACAACTGGCGGTTGCCTTTGCAGGTTATAGTGTGCAGTGGGCTGAGCTGTGAACACCAATAGGTGAGTGGATGCAGCTGGTTTTCATTTTGAGAGAGACAGACTGAGAAGCAACACACATGAAGGGAGAGATGCTATTGAATGATCTCCTCTTAGTGAATCTGTCCCTGTTGCCTAGGGCAAGGTGGTCCACTGAAGGTTATAGGTGCAGAGAGATGGTCTGGTTTTATCTTGGCCAAGTGGTAATTTCTTGAACCCTTTGGGAATTATCTCTTATCCATATCTATGTGTGTCTGTCTGACTAGAAGGGAATCAGGTACAGGAGGCTCTCAAGTTGCCTTCTTTGGGATACTAGAGCAGGCTAGAACTTAGAAGAATTCCTTAGCTCACCTGCCTTTATCCAACTCACTTAATGGTCTGTTATGTAAAGGAAGAGAAAAAGGCAATGAAGCTAGCCTACATGAAAAAGAAAGGAGCAAGGGTAGTAGTCAGGGAGTAAAATTGGAGCCAGGAATTCCTGGAGGGGTGTGAGACTGCTGCAGACAAAAGAAAGTCAGCCTCCTCATTGGATGATCAATCATTGGATTCAGGGAGGCTTAACTGGAAGGAGGCAGGAACAGAAATATTTATTTAAAGGTATTTTTTATTATCATTGAACATTAGAGCCAACTAGGCCATTAGGAGTCATCTAGTTCAATCCTTTCATTTTACACACGAGGAAAGTGGGGCCTCTGTACATCAAGCAAATTGTCTTGCACTCCAGAGTATAGAAGATTTGGGACTAAATATGTATGCTCCTTGACTTCTGGTCCATTACCATTCTTCCTATGCTCTGCTGTGGCTTATACTAGATTTAATAGATGTGCTAGTCTTCCATATTTTCTTCATTTTCCTTTTCCTTCCCTTTCTCCATCATCTATGTTCTATATTTACTGAAAATGAAATAAATAAAGTAAGCTTCTTGAATTTTACACACTACATTCTCAGGTCAAGAAAGCAAAGAACCTTTTAGAGAGGTCATTTCTTTAGTCTGAGAGATCATCTAACATACCTCATTTATAGGATGAAGACAGTATTATAATCCTAAAGATTTGTCTGCTTATCACTTTGCAAATATATTACAGTATCTTCTTCCAGAGTAGTTAAAAATATCCAAATCTTGTATATTCTTATCTCAAAAGATTTTTCTTTTCTTATTCATAAGTAGATAATATTAATTCATGATAATTTACTGCATACTTACTATTTGCCAGGAACTTAGCGCTTTACTTACATACAGTCTCATTGAATTCTCTCACTGACACTATGAGGTAGTGCTATTATTATCATCTCTATTTTACAGATAAGAAGATTAGGACTTAGATTTTTGTGTGTTCAAAGTTCACAGCATTTCATCATCTTAAATCCTTATTATTTATTTTCTGGATAGTTATAAAAAGCTTATCTGTTAGGTTGTTGAGAAAGTCATGACATAGCTTTCTATGCAAAAAATGTATCATGACTTTACAGACAACCCAATAATTTCTCTGCCTTTTGTTTTTCTCTTAAATCCAGGAATGATACATAAATTATTTTGTAAACACGTTCTATCAGAATGAATGCTTACAATAAACAACCAGTATGGCCATACCAATGCATATGGGAAGAATATCTGCCCTGCTTTAGTCTATTCTAAACAGAGCTGTGAGAGCCTACAACTTACTTTCTGCAAAATCTTGGCTAGCTCCCTATTGTCTATAGAATAAAGTACAAATTTCTTACCATAGCCTTCAATAAAGCCTTTGCATTCTGATCTGATTTCATTGCCAATTTTTTATTCTTGCCTAATTTCTCATTTCTATCACTTAATTTATGCCTCAATCAACCATGACTACTTATTCCTCAAATCTTTCTGCTATTTTTGATTTATCTGTTTATATTTTTTCTTTGAATACTTCTCACTACAATTTAACTCATTCCTGTAGGCTCAGCTCAGATATCAATTGCATCCTCCATGGTGACTTTTTGGATAGCTACCAGTAAAAGTAAATTTTTACTAATTTAGGTGGACTTGGAACTTTTTTTACCAGTCTTTGTCTTTTGACACCTAACATTTTAATATTGTATTTACACACATTTCTTGTCTACCCTAATGGATTTTAAACTCCTTAAGGTCAGGGACCATGTCTAATTCAACTTTCAGTGCCTGGCACCTGGGTGTTTATTAAGTATTTATCAAATTGAACTGATTATATATCATAGACATTTTTAACATGAGGATATTACTATTATATTCATTTTCTGACTTGGGTAACTGATGGGCACAATGATCGTATGTAAGGCTTGACTTAGGATTCTGAGGTGATTTCAGGCCAGATCCAAGTTCTCTTGACTACTACTAGTGAGCACCTGTTTGACAGATCCTCAGGTGTCACCATAAGGACTTTCCAGACTAGACCATGGACAAGGAACGCATTTTACTGCCTTGGTAGCCACATACTAAAGTTTTAACTCTGCCAGAAAGAAGTCTAACACATAAGGACTCAGGTCTAACTGGATTTGAGTTAAGATAAACCAGTGGAACATTTCATTTTCTTTTTGTCTGAGATAATTAATTAATACTATTTTTCTTTCCTTTGAAATTATTATTGGTGAGAATAACATTCTAATCACTACTTCTGGGGATAATCTTTCCTTTCCATTATGGAAAGCCACTGTTATCTACCCTAGTGACTGATACAGTTCTTAGTAATATCTAATTTATCTATAACTTTTTCTTAAGCCTTTGTTTTAAATCTCACATATTTCTGAGCTCTTAGTAATATTATAATTTAGTTCTTAGTAATATTCTAATTTATCTGTAACTTTTTCTTAAGCCTTTGTTTTAAATCTCACATATTTCTGAGCTCTTAGTAATATTATAATTTAGTTCTTAGTAATATTCTAATTTATCTGTAACTTTTTCTTAAGCCTTTGTTTTAAATCTCACATATTTCTGAGCTCTTAGTAATATTATAATTTAGTTCTTAGTAATATTCTAATTTATCTGTAACTTTTTCTTAAGCCTTTGTTTTAAATCTCACATATTTCTGAGCTCTTAGTAATATTATAATTTAGTTCTTAGTAATATTCTAATTTATCTGTAACTTTTTCTTAAGCCTTTGTTTTAAATCTCACATATTTCTGAGCTCTTAGTAATATTATAATTTAGTTCTTAGTAATATTCTAATTTATCTGTAACTTTTTCTTAAGCCTTTGTTTTAAATCTCACATATTTCTGAGCTCTTAGTAATATTATAATTTAGTTCTTAGTAATATTCTAATTTATCTGTAACTTTTTCTTAAGCCTTTGTTTTAAATCTCGCATATTTTTGAGCTCTACATTTTCAGCACATCAACAGGCTACTTGCATATTGTGTTCTTTGAATTGGCTAAGATCACTGTTCTTTCTCATGCTTCTATTTTATCCCTTCTACTTTGCCTCTTCTTTTACCTCAGAAGAAATAAACTATTACCTGAATGAAATCTAAAACTTGCTGGTGTCTTTGTTTGGCAGCTGCAACCTCGCTGTCTGAGATCGCTTCCCTCAGGGATTGTTGGGTATTCAGAGAATCCAGCTCCATAACAGCAGAAAGGCGGCAATACAGACTAATAAATTTCTCCCTGTAGCTGCAAAAATGAACTGGAAAATGGACAAGCAAAATAAAACATGTTAAGATCTGGTATCAAAATAAAGAAATTCATACCTCAGAGAAAACAAGTTGAATAAAAACATGATTTATTAATCCTATCAGTGGAAAATATTAAGCCATAAATAAATTATAAATGTGCTCTTAAGGGGCCAGCTGTCTGGCTTAAGTCAGACAGTGTTCCCTTTTAAGGTTTCCCAACTTCTGGTGAGGTATGAGGAAGAGGAGTTTGCCCAAGCAGCAGTTTATGTTTTACATAATATATATATATATATATATATATATATATATATATATATATGTATATGCATATATATATGCATATACATATCTGTATTATAGATATATGCATACATCTATAATATAGATATGTGTATATATTTATACACACATATGTGTGTGTGTCTATATATGTGTGTGTGTGTGTGTGTGTGTATATATATATATATATGATATATGATATATGACTGGGAAAATAAGCTTGCTTATCACTTTAAATAAGAAAAAAGTCAAAAAGCAATTTGAAATCTAGTTTCAATTTTCAGTCTGATTTCCAGTTTTTATTTTACTTGCTTCACTCCAAGGCCAGAAGATACACTTCAGAAGATACATAACCTGCTTTTTTTCAGAGTGTCTTTGGTCTGACCTCAAAACTTCCCTGAGGGCCAATTATGATGGATCTTGATCTTCTGCACCTCCCTCTCTTTGGCTCCTCTGGAAGGATGACGGAAACCAGTGCCTTGTTAGACCATTTTTATCTTCAGCAAACTTGGTCTTTCTTTCTCAAAAGATAATGGTACAGAGGCCATAGGAAAGCGTCTAACCTTCATCTCCATCACGTTTCCTTCTCTAGGAGGGTCAGAGCAGTGTAGGACTGCACTTAGTGCAAACAGCCTGGGGTGGTCAGATGTTCTATACAGCTCTGCCCCACTCTGATTGTGTTTAATAACTTCACATTCCAGTGGGACAAAGAAAGCATCCTGGTTCAGAGTGTAGTGTCAGCCTCTTTCTGAGTCTTATCGAATTCAGAGACATTGTAAGAACCTCGCTTGCTTTGTGTACCTCCTACCTGCAGTGTGTTCGATGCTTTGGAAGTAGGGCTATTGTAACTAAACAGGTCTGCATTTTTATTCTGGGTTTTTCAGTAAGGAATTCTAGGGAGAACATGTAATTACTGCCTTTGCACCCTTTTGTCATTGATTCTCGAGACCCATATCTGGCCATTTATAGAAACTGAAAATCATCCTATCTAAAGACAGGGCACCCGATCATCTTTACACGGCAGTGAGGATGCCCTACTTCTCTGAAAATTGAAGTATTTCTGTGCACTCTACAAATCCCATAGTACCAATGCATGCTTCCTCCTTGGCTGATTTCCTCTTTGGGTAAATCTTACGTGAGTGTAAGGGTAACCTGCTCCATTGGCCTTTCCTTGTATGGAAGTGGAAGAGAAGGATGGGATGAGGGTGTCAGTGGTTCATCTTTACTCCATCTGTGCCCTCTTTGAAGGAGGCGTTTCTCAATTTGGGTAGATTCAGTTCTGAAGCTGATTGTTTTTCTCTGGTATCATACTTCCTTCCCATCTCTTCTATTCCATTTATCACTTCATTTCCTTACACAGAGAACTGGTTTAATATACCCTCTCAGTAAATGATAAATTATTGAGGTTCTTACAGATGATCTAATTCTCACACAGTTTTCCTGCTTAAGTACCTCTAGAGAGCTCCTTTTTTTTTTTTTTTTTGAGAGGTTTTTGCTATAGGGCGCAATGTGCTCACCAGAAAGACAGAGAGAGACAAAGAGACAGAAAGCGAGAAATCACCCCCCAGGGGGGATGGCCAAGCCACAGTCCCTTCTCCTCCATTCTCCTCTCAGGATCTTGGGCATGCACGCACAAATTCCTGGCGTGAATTTAAGCCACCAGGTCCGGGACTCGAACCATGGTCGACTACGTGGGAATTCAGCGACATAGCCATTATGCTAGCTGCTGGTCCCTGGAGAGCTCCTTCTTGATATCAGGATGAAAATCCAAGTATCTTCTTCCCATAAGGAAAACTCCTAGGATTTGATTGATTGTATCTCTAGTCGTATCTTCCATCATGTGACCACCGTCCATTCTCAACTCCCATCAATTCTAAATTTTGGTCAATGACCTGTAGTAGCCTATTACGGGTCATTTTGTACTTCCATGCTTTCAGTCATGGCTTTCTTTCCCTTCTCTGCCAGTACCTTTAGGTCACCTTCAGATACTTAAAAATTCTGTGTAACCCTCTTCTTTTCAGTGAAATTTTCACTGACAGTTCCTCCTTTTAAGGTGGAACTAGTCTCTCTTTTTTGTTTGCTCCTAGAGCACTTGTTTCTGAATGTATTATGACACTTATTCTTGCTTCATTATAATTATGTGTTTACTTGACTGGCTTGGTATTAAATTGTGATTTCTTTGAGAGCAGGAACCTGCTGCCTTTATTTCCTCAAAACCTGGAACAGTGTAGCATCTCCACTAATGTTTATTGACTAAATAAATAAATGCAGGAGCTGTTAAGAAGCAGCAAGCCCTTCCCCAAAGGTTCCTCTTTCCCGCTGCTCTTTTCTCTCACCATGTGCTTGATTTTCCTCTTTTTAAAGGTGTATTTCAGGTCTGTAATATTTACTGGAAATGCCATAGGTGACTCCTTCCTATGGAGTAAGCTTACTCTTGACCCTCATAGCTCCCTGAATATGTCTCTATGCCTTTCAAGGAGGGATTATATCGTGTCGGAACTTGACAGATGTCCTCCCTTCGCTGGAGAGTGAAGAGAGTTAAGTGTTTCACAGGCTGTCTTTCCAAACCCAAGTGGTTAAAAAAATTCAGCTTTTTTTTTTCTTCTTTCTAAAATATGACTGGAAAGATATGGAGAGGCACTGAACAGTTTCTTTAAAAGAATACTATCAGTCCCATCTGAATTCTTAAAAAGCCATAGCGTTCACAGCTTTCTCTTGTTTCTCTTTGTGGTAGGAGCCTTGGGTCAGTGGGTGGTCTCAGCACCCACACCATCCATGCCATGCACCACAAGTGAGTTATGAGGAGGTTTTAACTATAATGCTTCAGTTTCCCGCTCTAGTGGTTTTTATCCAGAGCCTTTAATGTTACGTTAACAAATGTTACTTTAACATAGTCTTTTGTGGTTTAGCAATGATACATTTGGTAGCCATCACTGAGGAGGGGAGGATAGACTGGAAGCTTCTAATTTTTTTTTAAAATGTGAATCACATGCATTTTACAGACAAAATGGTTTAAGGCTACAATAATGCTATTATGTGGACCACGTGATTTGTTAGCAATTCACAAACTAAGTCTTATTTTCTACAGGTCCCTGCCCCCTTTATTTTTTTTCCTACGTAATGTGGTTGGTGTCACCACTAGGCATATAGCAGAGTAGAAAGTACGTGGGCTTAGATATCAAGTTGACCTGAGTTTGAATCATGATTCTGTTTCTTACTACCTGTATGAGGGTGGACATGTAACCTCCTGAACTTTCCTTGTTATCTAAGACCGGGATATGAATGTCTTCCTATGAATAACTAACGGGTCTAAAGTGCCTGACACAGCATGTGGCACATGCCAGATACAAAATAAACGTTTATTCTCACTTCCCCACCTCCAGAAAGAATGAAGCATTTAGTGGTTAGAATATTACATCTGGATTGGGATTAGAATATTCTTCCTAAGGATCTATAACTCATTAATATTCTAATCAGCCTAAGTCAAGTGGCATGGTTTAGAAGCCACGGAATCAAAGCCACGATTTTCCGGGGTCAATTTAGTGCCTTGGTTCTTTGAAAGTTCTAGGAAGAACTGAGGTACAAGGTGCCCCCCTAACGATTTCTGGTGGTGAATGAGTTGACAGTTGGAATACAGGGATGATATCCTAAATCATGAAAAATGGTAATGAAGGTTGAGGCTGTGCCATTTCTTACAAGCCTGTGACTGACATTCCATTAAGCTCATGGCCTGGATAGCCCACAAGCACCTCAATACTCATCATTTGTCAAACTGTACTCATCATTTCTCTCCTTCCTCAAACCTGTTTCTCTCATTCTATTTCCTGTTTTGGACGATGGCAACATAATCCATCTTAGTATCTGATTCAGACTCTCTGGCTCCTCTATCTTGCTCTTCAACCACATCCAATCAATCACAAAGTCACATTGATTTTAACTTCTAAATTCCTCTTGCCTCTGCTTTTCTCCTCCATGCCCACACTGTAGCTGCCATGGTTCTGATTATTGCCCAGCTGGACTGGTAAGGAAGTCACCTCTACTCTGACTCAGTCCCTTTTTTTTGGAGAGGTTTTCTCTATAGGGCGCGTGCACTCGCCAGACAGACAGAGAGAGACATAGAGACAGAAAGCGAGAAATCACTCTCCAAGGGGGATGGTCACACCACAATCCCTTCTCCTCCATTCTCCTCTCGGGATCTTGGGCACACATGCACACGTGCCCGGCATGAGTTTTAAGCCACCGGGTCCGGGACATGAACCGTGGTCGACTACGTGGGAGTCCAGCGGCATAGCGATTACGCTAACTGCTGGTTCCCCAGTCCCTTTTTATGTTCTCCTGCAATCTGTCTTCCACAAGCTGCCAAAATCCAGTAAGATCATATCATCCCTTTTCTTAAAATATTTTTATAATTCCCATTACGTGCTAGATAAAGTTGAACCTCCATAGGATAATATAAGTGGCCTTTTATCATTTTGACTCTTTTAACTTTTAGCTTCATCTCTTGTCATTCTTCCTCAGATGCCTGAAGCTTCCATTACAATGAGCTACTAAGAATAAATTTAGTTGGGCTAGACTTTTCAGATTGCCAAGCCATTATGCATGCCGTTCTGTATTCTTGAAATGATTTTCTTTTCTACTTTGCTTTTTCTTTCCCTTTCTGAATATTTATTTGCCCTTTTAAGATATAACTCAGACATTAACTCCGTAAAGAAAGATAAGATGTCATTTCTCT